GTTCTCAGGGAATGGTCGATGCAATGCTGTATTTAGATGTATTACTCAATAAAACCAAACTTAACTTTACGGCTGCCCATTGCTCACGTATATTCCCTTGTAAGACATGCATTCGCAGGTCACGCACATATCATTTGTCTTCCGAGATACAAACAAAACGATCCGGAAAAGGCATTTGATCTTTTTAACTTAAGCCTTCAACAACATGTGGTACGAATTCGTGTGCAAATCACATAAAGGTTCCACGAAGTAACGAAAAGGCAGCCATGCTTATCGAATTGAATTATACTAAGTGATATATAAATCCGAACACCCAGATTAAATGGTTTTATTTTAATAAAAGTTGGTGAATGTATTTATCTTACTGTAAATAACAAGTGAAAAAATGTTCAGCCTTATCAGCTGGACATTCCGGTTTTTATACGGCTTTTTTTTAATTCACTAACGTACGCAAAGAGCAAGGGGCACTGGACGCCGCCGTAGAACAACAGACCGTGAAGATGGCCGCCTAAGATTATTGGCCTTAAGGGACCGTTTCTCCACTACCAGGTCCATTGCAAATGAATGGTTTGCAGAACACGGAAGACCTATTGGCATGCGAAGTGTTTACCGACGAATGAGAAGTTTTGGCTTGTTTTCATACCGGCCACACTGGGTCCTCCCTTTAACTAGAGAACACCGACGTAATCGCCTTGAGTGGTGCAGACAACGGTCACTCTGGGATCAGGAATGGAACAGTATTGTCTTTGGTGACGAGTCTCGATTTTGTTTAGGCATGCACGATGGTCGTGCCAGGGTTAGAAGGCGACGTGGTGAAAGGAGGAATCCACAGTTTTTTGTTGGAACACATGTTCATCACACTGTTGGAGTTATGGTTTAGGGAGCTATAGCTTATGGTTCCAGGTCACCTTTAATCTTCATCAGAGATAACATGAATGTGCAACCTTATATCCACGAAGTTCTAGAACCCCATCTTTTACCCTATCTTGACACCCTGGCAGATCCAACTTTCCAACAAGATAATGCCCGACCACATGTTGCAAGAGTCACAATAGACTTCTTTCAACATAATGATGTCACATTGTTACCATGGCCACCAAGATCTCCCGACTTATCCCCAATTGAGCACGTGTGGGATATGATGGGTAGGAGATTGCTCAATTTGCAACGTCCTCCTCAGACTCTAGAAGCACTTCGAGAGGAGTTGGTGGTTGCCTGGAATGAGATACCACAGGAGGACATTGACCACCTGATCAGAAGTATGCCTAGGCGCGTTGGAGAATGCGTAGTACATCAGGGTGCATCCACACATTATTAAAGGTCAAAGGGCTTTAAAGCAGTGGAATCATTTTGAAATTTTTATCATTTACTTATTATGCTTCATTAGGTACTTATACAAAATTTTATTCAAAGAAAACCATTTAAACTGGGTGTTCGGATTTATATGTATATAACATCTGTTAACAGAAAAATTAAACTGTATAGAGAAACAGAAAAAATTCCACACGATTTAGAATTTCTAATTGAATACAAAAATAAATTAACCTTAACCTTTAACTACTCGCGCATTTTTATTTCACGTTACTACTCGCGCGGTGTATTTTGTACACCGTTGCAAGTTATGATCCAAATATATGTTTTGTTTGCCCTATAAGTTATAGCTGTGGTAATAAGAGCAACTGTTGAACTCAAATACATATTTATTAGCAAAAATAGTAAACAAAATCAAATAAGACAGTAAAAATAAATTGAAAAAAACAACCATAATTAATAATTCTCTATTCACTATGGGATCCGCCTTCCTTACATTTGTGGCGGGTGATAACGTTGACACTATGCTCTTTACACACTAACTGGTGACAAATGCTGCATGTAATTGTGGTAACTCTATTTTTTTTTCGGGCGCAGATGGAGCATCTTCCTCTAATTTTTCTGGGTGGCTCCTCTTCTTCATCCATTTGAGTTTGTCTATATCTGGATAGGAAATGTCTGATATCTATAGGTAACGTAGGTATTGCAGCTCTTTCAGAAAGAAAAGGTTTCATCCATGACAGAGCAAGAGTTTTCAGGAAAATTCTTCTGGACTTGTGAGGAGATTCAGGGTGAGTGCCGTTATACAAAATTTGGCTATTGATGCCTGCTATATTTAGCAACTGAAAGAAGAAAGCCAATGGCCACCTTTTTGTTCTTCTTCCAACAGAATAGGTATTGCACATTTTGTCCACTGTGTCCACACCCCCTTTGGTCATATTATAATCTAGAATTATTTCAGGTTTGTTGGTATATGGATCAATAGTGGAGTCGTCGTGCATAGTTGAAATCAAAACCACGCATTTATTTTTTTTTGGACATGTGAAACTATCGTTACATCCTTTTGGAATCCAAAAAGTGATGACCCAACCAACCTATTTTTATTTGGCAAGAACTCTATCGGCAGCTCTCGCTTATTCTTCTTCAGGGTTCCGATGAAAGTTATTTTGTCTTGAAGAAGTTCCACTGCCAAAGGGTAACTTGAATACCAATTATCGGAGGTTAGATTTCTATTGCTTCCTTTTTGTTCTGCTAGCAAACGGTGAACGATGGCAGTTGGTGTATTAGATTGGCTATATTGGCCATCTGGTTGTTTTCCACAGTACAGCTCCAAATTACTCACATAAAATGTTCTAGCATCACAGAGCACAAATGCCTTCAAACCATATTTCGCAGGTTTGTTTGGTATGTACTGGACAAAGCTGCATCGTCCTCGGAACGCAATCAACATTTCGTCTATTGTCATAAATTCGCCCATAGAGTAGTTTTTTTTGCAATTACTTACAAATTTATCTAAAACGTACCGCACTGCGGCCAATTTATCTATTTTCTTGCGTTCATGCCTTGTTGTTTTGTCATCAAATCGAATATTTGCCAGCAGAAAAAGAAACCTTTGATAACTCATGCAAGCTCGAAATATTTCTGATCCGGTACCGTCTTTTGTCCATAATTCCAAAAAATGGGTGTGGTTTTGCCTTTTAGATCCAGATAAAAACCGTAAGCCTATAAAAGCCAGCATTTCCGTTTTTGTAACGTCCTTTGCGTCTCGTTCACGATCATAGTTTTCCCTAACTCTTGAAATTTCTAAATTAGTACAGTGAATAATATGTTCAATCATTTCATCATCAAAAATTTTCGAAAACGCACTTGTCTCATCGGTTATGTCACGTGCGCATTGCTTTGGCCCTGGTAGTATTTTTATAATGTTTTTTATTTTGGACTTGCTGGATTTACTCATGGGATAATTTTTATACCAAATAGTCTTTTTGTCTTTGCCAATATACTTATCTTGTTTATTGGCCGCTAACACCGAGAGCAGGATATCTTCAGAATCAGAACTACTTTGATCAACATCCACTTCATCCACTTCTTCTAGTTCGCTTATTTCTTGTTCTGAATCCGAATTGTGTGCTTCTTTCTCTACTTGTTCACTTCCATCAGAATCTCCTTCTCCTCCAACTTCTTCCTCGGTATCCGTATCACATATAACTTGGGCTATAGCCGCTAATTCATCTTGGGTCAATTTTTGAGGATTTTTCACCTTAACTCGATTCCTTGAATGAATAAATCAATTAATTCAAAACATATAATCGATGTTTAATTATATACAAATATACAGACTACATTACAAATAAGTTTTCATGGAAAACCTAAAAAAAATACATTCCACTATCTACTTACATAACTGCTCGCCTTGGTGTATTTTGTACACCACCTCAAACTTCTTGAAATATCTAACCTTGTCCTCTAGCGATCCCAACCGTACTGGCGCTACATCTGGAAGATACATCGAGCGAGGCATACCTGGCTCGGCGCGGACGAACAGCTATTCGCATGGACTCGGCAGCCCTCGGCGCCATTTTGGTGTACTATATACACCAGCGCGAGTAGTTAAAGGTTAACTAAGAAGGTAAATTATATTAAAAAAACTAAAGTTGCCAAACTTAAAAGTTCTTTGACCAAAATGTGGCGTTTTATAGGAGAAATGTAACATTCTCAGAAATGCCAAAAGATTCCTGCTGTACAGAGAGAAAATGTCGAACTTACAAAATACGATATCGAAACAGGCAATAAATTTTGAAAATATTTTGATAAGATTGATGAGAATCTGACAAAATACATTCCAAATGAAACAGCTTACATACACGAAAACCATATTGAACAATTCCCTGTATCTTATTTATATAGATTCATAGGGAAAGCCAAGGGGCATCTTAATTCGTTAAGTGCATTATGCATTTCCATCGGTTCCTGTTCCATTATTATATGTTTTTACTTAACATATAAAGTATATATTTCTTATGTAGTCTTTTGAATTGCCTTTATTGTAATTAATTTTATCCTACTCACTCTTCCTATATGTGCGTTCGTTTTTTTGAGACTTTTTCTGTCTACAGGCAACCTTAATCAACCCATACTTCCTCTCTTTTGCTTGCAGAAGGAGGCGGAAGGAAGGCAACTAAAGACGCGGATCTTTACTGACTAAATGATATCACTAAGGCTGTACCGAAACTCGACAAATCATCGCAAACAGTAACAACGGACAGGATTTTGGAATTTTGTCTACAGCAAAATACCGGTAACTGACCGATTATAGCTCCATAAGCTGTGTCTGGTGATCAATCTGGCCGCTGTGCAAACAATCCTTCAAGTATCCTCAGAGACGACAAACGTGTATGAGGGCGGTCGATCAGACCCTGCGGAACATTTTATCAAGCCATAATGTCATTGAGCTAGCATCAGCGCTCTCTAGCGAATGTCGACAGGTAACAACCCTGCGGAGTCTATTGGAAAATTAGTGCCTAAATTACCACATTCGGGGAATGCGGAGGCCGGATGCATCATCGGTGTTGCCGATGTTAAGGAATTGAGCGGTAGTAGTAGTAGCAGTAGTAGTGGTAGTAGTAGTAGATTACAAGGGTGGCCTGTCATAGTTCCAGTATGGGTTCAGAAAAGGTACGTTGATGGCAGTGGACGAAGTCCTTAAAACCATTAAGGGCAGCAGGGAAAAATGGGGCGTTCTCATCACAGTCGACGTCAAAAACGCTTTCAACTCGCTACCGTGGGAAAACATAATGGAGGAGCGGTGTACCGCAGGGCTCAGTCTTGGGCCCTACTCTATGGAATTTGGTCTACGATGGGGTACTGAGGAGTAAATGGCAGCGCAGAAGACAGAAGCTGTCGTCTTAAAGGAGAAGCGGGCAAAGCTGGTATTACTTTTAACTGCAGGGGAACTTCCGCAACACCAAAGAAGTCTGTTAAGTACCTAGGAATTCACTTAGAAGGAGGCCACTCTCGGGAGCATATTCGGGTCACGGCAGCAAAAGCAGACAAAAAAGCAGCATCGTTAGCAAGAATTATGCCGAACATCGGCGGACCTACCAACAACAAGAGGGAGGTTATAAATAGCGTGGTGCTTTCCACATTACTTTACGATCTGGCACGACATCTTGAGCACTACTAGATACAGGCACACGTTGATCAGAGTGCAAAGGAAGATGCTGCTGAGGGTGGCGAGTGGTTACAAGACCGTCTCCACGAAGGCCTTACAAATTATTACAGGGATATCACCGATCCACTTGCTTGTGGAAGAAAGAGTGAGGCTGCACCGCCGGGAAGATGGGAGATCGCGAGGTCACCATCAGTAAATGGCAGGACGAGTGGCACTTAACGGAGGACGTGGCTCAGTGGACAGAAAAGCTAATATCGGACATCGGGAAGTGGATTGCTTGCAAGCACAGGCGACTGGATTACCACTTAACGCAGGCACTGACGCAGCATGGTACTTTTCGAGTATTCTCGAAGAGAATACAGAAATCAGACAGCGATGAATGCATGTATTGTCAAAAAAAGACACAGTTGCACAGATGGGAGCAACAAAGGGCACAAGTCGTTGTTAGCCTAGGACACGCACTGACGGAGAGTAATCTGACCAGCACCATGATAGCGAACAACCAATCCTGGATACAAATACAAAGATTCATCAGGGAAATACTATTCATTAAAGACAAGGATGAAAGAGGATCAAAGAAGAACGGACAGCCCAAACTCCTAGGACATATACATGGAAATTTTACTGCAGAAAACGCTGAGGAAACGGAGACATGTGTGAGACACAGTCATGCTGGTAGTAAGCGCAGGCGAATCCCAGCATGAGTGGGGGAGGGGTTTTTAGCCCGGGTGGCATAACCTGAATGCGGATACTAGATATCCGGTCTCAGGTATCTCTTGGTGATTTCCCTCCAAGAAAAAAAAAGTAGTAGTGGTAATAGTAGTAGTAGTAGTAGTAGTAGTGATAGTAGTAGTAGTAGTATTAGTAATAATAATAATAATAAACGGCTTTATTGGCGGAGTTTAGCACAGCTATTCTTACACTCAACCTTTCTAAAGACTAAAGCTTAATGCTAGTTTGATATACAAATATGGTATTTTACATATACAGTAAGCGATTGTATTTCTATGAATCTAACTAAAAAAAGAGAATAATGGTAATTGATCACACGGCATTTATTCATTGATCCTATGCTGAGTTCCTAAAAGATGATGAAAATATGGCAAATTTGTAGTTTTTTTTGCACGTTTTAGGTTTGCTGGTAGCTTTAAGACATATATTTGCGAATTTCTTAATCGCTGTGAATATAGTGTGGATGTTTGTTCAGTTCCCCAACAACGAAAAATATTCAACTTTATGGATGTATGGATATCAAAAAACCTGAATGCTTTTGCGGGAATATCAATCTAAGGTGCCATAATGTTTGGAATCGAGCAATATCTTTTGGTAGAGACTGTCATCAAGTAGGTGCTTCATGGCTAATTGCGAAAGGTTTATAGGAAAAAACACCCAGTATCGCATATCAATTGAAGAACTTTATTCAAAAATCCAACATTTCTTTAAATTTAGACTGAATTATATGTAATTTCTTAATATTCAATAAGCTAGTGATGTATTTGACAGTAATTTGTTTTCAACATTTCATAGCTATTGGATGCTAAAATTTGTTGATTGGAACTTGAAGCTCAATCGTTGTATTTGACGGTCTGCTACCCTATGGGTGGAGACTATTTGAGACCTGGATCATTTTTTAACAAACTTTGCGTCAAATAGGTCGACCATATTCCTAGTGTATAAGGCGTTAGGCCTGGATATTAACCAAGCATGATCTGATCGATGATAGAATTACGTGACAAGTAGCTAGTCGACTCCATTTCTATGAAAAGTCGACTTGAATCCTCGAGCATTTGGCAACGTCGCACCGAAGTTGTGCTGCATCAAATGTATGCAGCATGACGCGTTCCCTTTTAAAAGGGAACCTGGCAGAGCAAGTTTGGTATCCAACTGCTGTATAGGTAGACACTCGGGGTTCCAATGGAATCCACAAACACAAATGGATGAAAGTTTAATGCAACAGTCATGTTTGACAGACGCGACAGCGCTGCGTTGGTCTAGAGTGGATTCAATGTAACCTAGGAAACAAAGAATTAATAGGCGTTTGTTATTGGGGAGATGCCTCGGTGAGAAAAAACAGAAGTTACTAGAGATGCCCAAATTTGGACTAGACTAGATTTCAAACTATGTTATGCGAGCCTTGATTGTTTTTCTCATCACTTGGACTTGTACCTTCTTGGGCAATCCGGATGCGTAGATAACTAATCTGATGTCAGTTTTTCGTTTTAGTTGTGAGAGGGCCTTCTTATAAGGTTCATTTTCTTATCTTAAATAGGATCACATTCACGTCACTTCAAGATTCGCTAATGGCTGCATTCGAATCCAGAGCCCAAAATTTAACCAGTGTACGGACCCTCAAAGAACAAAGATGGAAATTTTGTTGTGTAAAAGTTTCACAACATCATTTTGCAAAATCCTTGAGTGTCTGTGATTCGGACAAGAATTTGTTTCTTAGGAAAATGATGAATTCAACATCAGAAGACAGGAATACCGCCTTAGACTTAGTCTTAGGATGATACCGACTTTTGTCGTTTATTATGTGGAGAATCTTATCCACGACCTTTCCATTTCGTCATCTTCATGTAAGGTATTTAGCTTTCAATAAGTGATTTATATTCTCGTACAAGCTTTCTGCCTGCGGCTCCGCACAGGCAGATCTCAGTTTTGACGTAAAAATTATATACTGCTGTGCTAAAGGCAGCTATCTCAATGTGAAGAAACTTGCACCAATGATTTTCCGACATCAGGAAATGTTGTTCTGCAAGTAATGACCAAACGCCTCATATTTTCGACCATTAAAGAACAGTTTCGTTACATAACGTTCCATGGCTTCTTTTTCAACATCCTAGTAGAAACGGTTAACACACGAATTGCGCCATTGCACAGTATTACGTAAATTTTATTGTTGAAAACGTGCATAATTTCAGAATCTTTTTCAATTAAATTTCTTAGCAACGCCCAGCATTTAACAACATGAAAAACAGCCATATGATCTGCAAAGCCAACGATTTCTCCTCGAGTCGCTGAAGAAGCAAGGTCATTTATATGAAGGTTGAACAGAGTTGGCCCTAACGCTGTTCCCTGAGGTATACCACATGTTACGAGACAAAGGCTGCTATTTACTTTCACACATTGATATCACTCACCCAAATAACTTTTCGTAGGAGCGCAAAACCCTTATCCAACTAACAATTATCACTCCTATTAGAGTTGCAAGAAAGATTATACGTATTCTTTAAACAGCATTGTATACTGTAAGAACATTGGCAAAACCCTCTTAGAACAACTATACCAGCGGAATGGGCACACCTAATAGGACACTTCAGTCATTTAAGAGGTTGTATAAGAAGATAACAGTTATACAACAAAAGTGTGTAAGCCTCTTGCAGCCGCTATAGGACATTTGCGTCAGCGCAAGATTCAGTTTTTGTCAACTCTACAACTATTCTGTTACGTGATTCTACTTTATTGTAATTTTGAAAATGTCTAGATTTTTAAGATGGAAAACTGAACTTATCTGCGTTAAATCTTCCACAACTCCTATATTTAGACACAATTACACTAATGTTTATCACTTTATATCTGTAATTTCGAACTGAAACATAATTATTTAATATTAAATAGAGGAATAAATGTTTGCCCAATATGGCGGATGGTTGTGTACAATCATGGCATCGTCCATGTTGTCTTTAGGTTATTAGAATATTTTGGTGTTGCTTGCAGGTGTTATACAACAATTTGACAAATGTCTGAAATGAAATACCGACAGAGTCGAATGATTTACCCAAAATTTGTTCCAGATCTATATCTTCTGTTTGAACAGTTGATAAAACCTTTTCAACCAATATGCATGCGTTGTTTGTCTTAAAACATTGATTATGGCATTTAACAAAAATGTGACAGCAGAAAGTTAGGTTATGGTGAAGTTGTTTACCAACATATAAGAATATTTTAAACACTTCATTTTAGAGCAAATATGTTGCAGAAAGCAAATCTGCATTAAACACAACATTAAGCCAGCATTTTGGTGTTCAGGCAACAACAATAGAGAGCTTTTATGGCTGAACGGTTCTTTTACCAAAAGCTTATACCACTACTTTGCTAGTCGGGTATCTTCCAGTGTTGCCATAAGTTCCTCATGATCTACAATCTCAAAAGCAATGTTTTTTTCTCCAAAAGTGTACGCTGAGGGCTTACCTTTATCTATATTTTTGTATATCTATCGGAGAAGCGTCATCAAATATTTATATTCAATACATATAGAAGGTATCAGATATGCAATATACATTTGAGTGATTTCAAGACAAAAACCAGTTTTTTTTAATTTTACCACCCGATATCTTGGAATTGTGGTCATACGTCTATATGATTTTTTTGTCTCAAGGAATCGCGTGCTAAATTTGTGGTACAAACTTAATTAACAACCTTAAATAAAATAAACGTTGCTTCTTCCATAAGCAGGACTCTTCATAAAAACTTTCTGCCTGTCCTGAATTTTATTTCAGCTAGTTAGCCCATATGCCACAACTTTTGCCATCAGGGGGCCTTTCAGAGTCTTAACGGATCAGCTTGATAATCCCCAAAGGAAAGAACGTGAAAAGGGCGCCATCCCATCCGTCTACGGCGTTGCATTTGAGGATTAGCACGGCCAGATCAGGAAACTCCGCAACTCCGACTTTCGGAAAATGTGTGTGCAAATAGAACCGGGACAATAAGCACGCTTTCAGCGAAACTCAACTTTTTATCGGCCAAAAAAGTATTGCGGCGGCTAAAACTAAGTTGGCGAAACGACTGGGGTGTCACGCGTATTCATTGCAGCTCCGATATGTTTCGCGCTCTCCCGCGGAAGCTGTTGTTCCTTTGTTTCGCGCCTCGTGCGTCGACAACTCGGTTTTTTCCAGTTGACGTGGATAACCTTTTATTCTTCCTTATTGCGTTTTTTGCAACGTTGCTATGGAGGTTTAGTCCTGGAAAAGTATCCTGTTTCAG